GGCTCTCTGTTATCTGTTCAACTTATATATGTTTTATATTTTTAAACTGTGTGGTCGAAAATGGACTGGTTTTATTGTTCAGTTACTGACCAAACAAGCGCCTCCCGAACTTAGTGATTTCTCTCTGGTCAAATATTGGCGAGTAACCAGAAAAAAACTGGCCATTTATTGACTATACGTTCTAACGTTTCTACTCCTTCTCTATATTTTTCTTCCCTTGTTGTTTCTTTTCAAAGACAACAAAATGCTCCTCATTTTGAAACATGTAGTTTCACAATAAACAAGACTACTTTTAGTCGGTAAAACATTTTACACACTTGCTGTCTCGATTTAGATTTTATCATCATTCCAATGTGTGTGTGGATATAGTGTGTGTGTGTGTGTGTACGAGTTTTATACGATACCTACATATAACACGTGATTTCTGAAGAAAATCCCAGCTTGATCTCGGTGATCCCAATTTATATCCCGACATCCAGTGGGGATAACCACGGGATAACCGCGCGGATGCAATATTACCTTCCGCGGCTTTTTCGCCGCGGAAAAAATTTACTCGCGAGAGTTTCATACCAAAAGACACGTCTCTCACGTGACTTTTGGAACTCTGACGTATTATACACCCCCGTCGTGGTGCGCGCGCGCTCTTCTCCCAGCACCCTCCCGGATGCTTTTTATATTTCAGTCGGTTTTATTTCAACCGAACCAGACTGTCATATTTTTACAGATGTGTAAAAGAGAGAACGTCTACTTCGCAGACGCGCGTAATAGTTCATTTTACGGTTTCTCGATTGCAATTTTTCACTTTGGAGAGAAAGAAAAAAAATCCCAACTCTCTTAAATTGGGGCGAGAAACTCCGCGACCGTTAAGCGTGTCAATGCGATAGAATCTGGCCGTAATCTGGCTGGCGCCGTTTAATATCCATAGAGGAAGAGTTGAGAAGATACGAAAATGCGACGTGACGCGACGCGAAATCCTTTAATCGCCTTTTTTCATGCGCATTCGCGCGTAATCGAGCGGAAATTAAACGCAAAGAGTTCGTCCTCCCGCGTTGCGATTCGGTCGCTTTTAACGAGAAGCACTTTCGACCGGCAGCGGCTTAGTCAATTATGTTTTCAGTTGTGGCAGAAAAAAAAAAAAAAAAAAGAAAAAGAGAAAAAAGGGAGAAAGTGAGAGAGAGAAAGAGAGAGAGAAAGAAAGGACCGATGAGGTATATTGAATGTTGCAAGGGAAATCGGCTTAAGCATTAGCTGCATTTTAATTGTGCTGAGTTATCGAGCGCGTTCTATTTCGCGTTACTTTTATTTCGCGAAAAGCACAACAAGGGAGAAAGTATGTCTAGAGAGAAAGAGAGAGAGAGAGAGAGAGAGAGAGAGAAAGGGGGAGAGAGATTGCATACATTATTTAATTTAACACACACGAAACTTGATTATTTAATTTCATTCGACAAGTTGTTTAAACGGAATTTAAACTTTATAACTTATTTTATTCTCTTCGAATCGAAAACGAGCAATCTTAAGTGATAACAATGCGATGCAACATATTTCGCACGCAAGTAGCTTCAGTAAAACTTTCCAAATTTTTTTAATTTTTGAATTAAAAATAATAGTTTGTTTTTTAATGTTCTCTGCTTTTTTTTTTTTTTTTTTTTAAAAATAATAGTTTGTTTTTTAATGTTCTCTGCTTTTTTTTTTTTTTTATTAAGAGACACTTCCAAACCGCGAACGGTGCGGAGGAAAAAGTCCCGTTTTTGATTTCACGAGATATATACCGTATATATATATATATATATATAGATATATATACCGGCGCGCACAATTTGCCAAACAATGCGACGCGATAGACAGCCATCGATTTCGCGTCCATCGAGGGATCGACCGCGTGCTTTATGGCACGTCGCAGGATTCTCACGATGGGGATATCCGGCGCACGTGTGTGTCGGAATAGTCGCCATAAATAGGGATTTCCGTCGTTGGGTCGATCTCACACGCCGGAAAGTAAACGTTAACCCCTTTGTTGTGTTGTGTCCCTCTCGCGATTCCTCTCTCCGTGAGCGATGCGTTGACTTGTGTTCATCGGCTCCTTTCGCGCGCGAAAAACGTCAGGAATTTATACCGCGAAAATTATATCTACGCTCGATACCAAAAAACGAACGCGCTATTCGTTCGTCCGGCAACGCAACTACAGTTTTTTTTCGACAAGTTTTCTAAACAAAAATGTATCCTTGTTTATCTTATCTTATTCGAGTAACAAATCGACAGAAATGATCGATAGAATTGTACGTTTCTCTTCTATTTAAAAAAAACTCGCATTAAATAAATGCTTTTTAATCGCTTGACGTGTCGTGCTGTCCGCGCGAACACGAACGATGCAACGATGCGACTCTCATTAAAAATGTTTCTTGAATTTGTTATCACTGAAGAGAAGTCACTGAAAATGATTTATTAGCACGGGAATGTTTATGATAAATCACGTGTGCCTCGCGGTGACAATTTGTTATAAACGTACAAGCGCGGCGCCACATTATGCGGGTGTGTGATATATCAATGTGTGTGTATTATATATGTTTCTCGTGTATATGTGTGTGTGTGTGTGTTACACGTTTCGTGTATACGTGTTGTTTATTTGACATATCGATCCGGATGCGATCAAACGTTAGAGGTAGGCAAAACAAGAGTGTACGAGAATGGGGCAAATTTTAAGGAGGGCAACGGCGCACCATCGTCGTCGTCGTCGTCGTCGTCGATGAATAATTCAACCGCGGTGATTTGCACGAGTCAGTGGAAACGAGACGTCGAACCTAGATTTCTCAATATCGATTCTTCCGCCACGCGCGAACAACATCCTTACGCCGCTTTATAAAAGAAAAGCTTGCGCGTGCTCGTCATTCAAAAAAAACTCTTTTCCGACCAGGGAGGTAAATAAATAAATAAACGAATAGATTAAATAAACACAAACGTGACCGCGAAATATGACGTTTGCGAAATGTGTACACGGAAAAAAAAGATTTGCTAAAATAGCAAGAAATTAGTTACTATATGGCCAGCAAAAAAACATTTGTTAAGTTTAGTAAAATTTTTGTTTTGCCAACAAAATATTTTGTTGATGAAACAAAAAATTTCGTAAGATCAACCATTTTTTTTGCTGACTATATAATAGCAAAACTTTTTTTTCCGTGTAGCTTCCGCTGTCGAACGTCGGAACTCGAACAATTGCCTTATCTACGTCACATTACGCCGCGATAAAATAAATTTCACTGAGATAGAGTATCTATCTGGTATCAATAAAATGTCACATACGCTTCTTCTTTTTTTTTTTTTTTTGAAGTTATTTTTATTATTATTCGTCGCGAAGCGACTTTCTCTCGAGACGAAGCACGACCGATATGTGGGAACACGCGGTATCTTGCGTGCGGGGTTTGAGTACAAACAAAACAAAACAAAAAAAAAAAACGCGAAAATTAAAATTCTAATTTCCGGTTGATCAAAACGCGATTCCCACGAGTATCCTCGCCTCTCGCGCGGATGCGCGCTGCATATTTCAGCGAATCTCTGCGTGCGGAGCTCCGGTGGCTTCAAATAACGCGATATTTCGCGCACGTGAAACAAGAGCTCTCGTGGAGTTTTAACGCGTCACGAGTTAATTAGAGCCTCAAGAGCGATATATACCGGGGAGCGCGCCAGTGACGTAGCGAGCGACCCGTTTCGCAATTCGCGGTTTTCAAATATTTGCATCTCGTTTTCACCGAATTATTTGATATTTATCTTTTACAGCGCTGAATTATTGTTTATTCTATGGCGAGTGTGTGTTTTCGACGTCTTTTTTTTTTCTCCACGAGAAATAATAATATCCGAGACTTTTCGGTTTCCTCGTTGTTCGCGTTGTAGCGAATTTTTTTTCCAATTTCAACGGCGGTTAAAAATTCCTCGCGACACACACACACACACACACGTCGTCATCGCGTCGCGCGTTAATATATATATATATATGTGTGTATATATGTGTTAATACTTCACTCGGCGGACATTTATCGCGTAGAAACACGACCGACGAGTAGACGTAAATTCGGTTCGTTAATGAGCTCAACAGGTGCGTGGCGAAACGAATATATCGGTCGCGCAGGATTGAAGCCTTTTACTTCGCGACCGTTTGACAATGACACGCGTCGCCGCCGTACATGCGGGAGAGAGACGGGAGTCCATTTAATCTGATTATATATACACATACATATATATGCGGCTCTTATACACGTTCCGTTTGCAAGGACCTAAATCGATTTATATTGCGACGATAAAAGAAATGTAAAGAAAAAAAAAAGAGTGGGAAAAGAAGAAGAAGATTGGAGAGATTCCCGGTCAGAGTCGGGAGATCAAGCGCAAGAAAACGAACGAAATAAAAAAGAAATAGGAAGGAAGTAAGAACGAGAGCGGAGAGAGAGAGAGAGAGAGAGAGAGAAATAGAGAGCAGGAAGGAAAGAGGGGAGAGGAAAAGGATGATTTCTTTGTGCCTGAACAGAACTCGCCTACATTCCGTAGCAAGGTGGATTTCATTGGAAGCAAGCGCTTTTGATAAAAAATAATGCATTTGGCGTCCAAAGACGAGAAAGTCTTTTTTTTTTCTTTCCCGACGAAGACTCGAAGTCCTCGTCTAATTTCATATACGCATACAGTATTGCAAATTGGCGTAATTGTTGCAATGTTCGTGACGCAAATGTATAATAAGAAAAAATGACACATAAATTTTTTTTTTTTTATCCACTTAATTGCACATTGGCTGTTATTTAATTTCACGTCCACCTTCACCCAGGATCTTAGACTCATTGGTTTTCACGTTGATTTAATTTTCCTTCGAGCCGTATTTATTAATTTTTATTTTTTTTATCTTTCAAATAAATATCAAAATAAACTCGCCAGTCGCGAGAGGTAACGTGGATTTTGTCCGATCGCGTTCGAGCAATTCGCAAAATTGTCTTTCTAGAGCTGTCGATAAATTCTGCGCATACCTTTGATTCCGTTCCTAGAGCACATTGCTTAGACGCGTTGATCCAAAATAGGATGAACTCGGACATAACATTGGCAATCGTGAGACAACGGCAAACAACGGCGGATTTCCGTCGAGAAGCGATGCAACCTGGCAACAGATTTAATTGGCCGTTAAACGATCGTGCGCTCGAATCCCGAGAGCCGAAATGACTCCCTCCCACCCTCCCTTCCTCTCTCTCTCTCTCTCTTCGTTCAATTAACACTAATTACCTCTAACCGTGGCAATAACCGATATATACTGAAACGATGCGCGCGGTAATTGTCCGACGATAAATCGATAAACTGTAACATAAGTATGGCGAAATAGCAAACGGGAAGAAATTTTTACGCGTGTGTTGACACTTTGAAATTTATTCTTTCGCGCATCTATCGATAACCACATACTCTTTTTATCGCGTTATTTCGAAGCTATGATAAAAAAAAACAAAAAAAAAAAAAACAAAAAAAAAGAGAGAGAATTTTCTCGGATACTGGATCTTCTCTGCGAGAAATATCGCGTTTTGGTACGCGAGTGCGTTATTGCGTTTCACAAGAGTAAATATCTCGGACTGTTTGTCCCAGAGCGGATCGAACACTGCCTCGACTAATTAACAAACGTTGGCGCTCTCGGCGCGGCGGCGGCGGCGGCGGCGCGGTGTTCCGCGAACAATGTCGAAATAATTAGCACGGCGCGGACACAACACGCCGCCCCCGCGTCCGAGAACAAACACGTTTGTTATAGACGAGAGAAACAAGTAATTCTCCCGAATTAAACCGTTTTCACTTCTTTCGAGATAATCCACTTATATCGTTTCAACACGCGCTTTTGTACATCTCGACTTTTCGCGCGCGCACAAAGTTATGAGTTTCGTTTGATATATGAAAAATTTGCACACACACACACAATTATTTTTCCCCGACTCAGAGCGCTTTCATTTGTTCGTTTTCTTTTTATCCCGAGTTTTTGATCTTAAACACACGTAGTCCGAATAATACAAAATTTTTGTTTTGTGTATATTTTAGTGCGCGCGGCTCTCTATCTCTCTCTTTTGTGTTTCGATACGTGTATTATATATGCGCGCAGAATTCTCCTTTATGTGAGTGGATCCATATATTGCAACAGATCTCTCTCTCTCAGTGCCAGAGCTTATAACTTACCGAAAGTGCTGTTTCGAGAATCGAATACATTCCGTCATGAGAGGCAGCAAGCAAGCGCGGGAGAGGAAGCGAGCGACTTATTAAATTCTCTACAGTAGCTAAAATGCACACAGCAAAGCGAACACACAGCACACTACTTTCCCCAAGCTTGAGTTAATAACCCACCTTTATGCACGCGGCGCAGACTGCGCGCGCGGCGAGGTAGTACTTTTCCATTCCTAAATTCTTCGGCTAATTGGAACTGTTTTTTTTTTTTTTTTTTTTTTTTTGTTACAAAAATGAGAGAGAAAATTATCGTGCTCGAGTTCTCAATTTTTGTTCATATTTTAACGAGTTCAAGTTCTTGAATTGCGCTAACTTCCAAAAAAAAAAAAAAAAACTCTTTTGCGGAAGACATTATGTGTACGTTATATCTGCGGAGAGAGAGCATAAATTGAGCATTTTATTATATATGAGATAATAAACCAACCGTTTTAGAATGAATTTTCAAATTGAATTTAATTCGAATTCCCGTGTGTTAAATTAATTTTTACGCGTTTAAAAATCCACGTGTGCGCGCGCGCGCGTACACGCTCGTAATGATTTTAAATTGAACATTATCGCGAGCTTCGCTTTATATTACGATCAGTTCAAAGAAGAACGTGACCAATTTAATTTATAGCAACATTTATTATATGTAACTGAAAATACAGTTTTATTCTGTTCGATGCGCGCGTTGCGTAAAATTAAAATACTTCTATATTAATAACGCGTCCGGTCGCCATCGTTGTTAATAAGCGTCTGATAGTTTTCGAGACAATATTTCCAACAATCAATTAGAATTGTATTTATTTTCAGTTTTAATAACAAATTTGTCTACAAATTTGAAACTCCACGTTCTTCTTTGAACAAGACAGATTATATTGTATACATCTTCTCGAAACGGTCGCAAAACAAAACCAACGAGAAAATGATGAGCGAATAATTGCCGAGGCAATGGAAAATTAACTACTACTCCGGGAGCAAGGCAACATCCGTCTTGCGAATTCTCACACCTCGGGTTCGCGATCCTACTCCATTTACGACCAACGATCCTGGAATATCACCGAATATATTCATATTCATCGCAAAATTATCTCCGAAGGAGACGAAAGCTACCACTCGCACGACCTCCAACGTCGCGCGACATGGAATTCGGTTGTAATACGGTGTCGGTTTAATATTTCATATTCCTCGCGGTTGTGTTGCGTGCACACGCCGAAATTTACAATACGTACCTATTAGTATCCCCGGGGGAAATTACATTTGCGAGACGCGGGTGTGCGATAAACTTCGAAGCTAATTATTATCCGGAAAGGTAATCTCGTATCCGCTCGTGCAAAAGTCCAATCGATTACCGCGGACGGAACGAACGGATTTACGCCTAAACGACCTTCGACATATTAACTCCCTTCCCGCGTCACGTGGAAACGTAAAGAATTACCGAAAAAAAAAGAAAAAAAAAAAAAAAAAAAAATACATATTTGCTCATTTAATTCAGCCAATAAAATAATTCGCAAATCTCATAAATAACGAACGATATATTTCATCTGTTCATTAAAATAAATATATTTCGCCGTTGTGCGAAATTATATGAAATATATACGAGACGATATATATAAATGGAAAAAAAGATAACGTTTTTTTTTTTTAACGCGTGTGCGAAACAAAACTTTTTGTAAAATGCGCCGCGAAGCATTTGGAAATTTCCTTTCCGAAAATCGCTAACGTTGCAACAAACACCGGTCGTCGGTGCACAATAGAAGCTTCCGAGTCTATGAGTGGAGAATATATACGTCAGAGGTGTAGCGTTACGAATGCGTATTACAGCTTGAATGGGATACTCAGACGATAACGAAAATGATATATTTAGAACAACCGAAGTTGCACCACCGCGGTTTGGTGCATATACACACAAACACATAACATACACACACACACACACAATTGCTCGGATTACACCAATAGGTATTTCCCAGAAGACACAGGGCGAGTTGTTGCACCAACACGTAGGACTTTGGTCATTTCCCGAGAGAATGCGGATTGAATTGTTGATGTTGAATAATACCCAACGATGCGCCGGCGCTATATCGAAAAGCGATAATAACGACACGCAATGTAACAGTTGATCTCGTAGAGAGACTTCAAATGTGATCCGGGCGCGATGCGGGCAGGTATCGAACCGGGTTTATCTTTTTTTTAAAAAATGATATCGGCGATTATAATTCGCCTATCGCGCAGCGTCGAATTTTGCGCGAGAGCAATCTCTCTCTCTCTCTCTCTCTCTCTCGGTCGTGTGCGCATTATGCGTCGTAAAAAAAAATTCCGTAATATAAAATTCCGAGAGAGAACACGCACCATGCAAGACGTATATATATACGTGGTGGTGTAATAAAATCCGTCCAACACACACTCGGAGACACGACGTTTGTATCAATAATTCTCAACAACCGTCGTATTTGTCAACACGTTTGTTTTGAATCGGTGGTGTATATACACACGCTTTAAGTTTGTCACGAGATACATTTGCTCTGGTTGTTGTTGTTGTTGTTGTTGTTGTTATTGTTGTTGTTGTTTCGCGAAACTTGGTCGTACAAATTCCTTCTCATATACTCTGATTCCCGACGAGAGCATGTTATCGCGAATTATTACGGACGGGGAAAGTCAAACCGTTTTCAAGTTTTATTTACACAATATATCTCTCTCTCGGAGAGAATCACAAAACTACTTCCTCTTCTCCTTCTCCTTCTCCCGCAATCGACGCAACTCGGGGTTAATATCGTATTCAGAATCGGAACCTACCGGACCTTTCGAATTTCACTTTGCGGGGTTTCTTCTCCATTTTTTTTGTTTTTTTTTTGTTTTTTTTTTTCGGCTTAACGTTTGCTTCCTCCACAGACCACAAACGTAATGAAAGTGATTGAAACGCACAACTGCACGTCCCGTACGAATGTGCAGATCGGTATTGCCGCATTCTCCGGGAATCACATCGGATCGATCGTCGAGTTTGTGTGTTTGTGTGTGTGAGAGTGAGAGAGAGAGAGAGAGAGAAGAGAGAAAGGGGGAAGAGAAATGGAATCGCACGAATTATTTCCCCCGGAAATACGGCCACCGGGATTGGATGCTAATGTATTTGTGCTTCTTATTAGGAGCTTCGCGATTCAATTAGCGCGAGTTTGCTGTCGTATCCGTTCGCGCGACGTCGGAGAACAACAAGAACAACGGTCGGAAAAACGCCTCTATACACGTTTATTGCATGCATCACAAGAAACGCGCGCGAAAACCTCATTAAAAAAAACTCTCGAGTGTTCATTAAGTCAAATCTTTCGGCATTGAGAGAGACATTTCTCTCTCTCTCTCTCTCTCTCTCTCTCTCTCTGTCTCGTCGAGCGTTTATGTTACATTTAACGTTTCTTGTTTTCCGTAATACAAATTTCCATTGTTTAAATTGATATATTGTATCGCACGTTTGTTGCGCGTAATGTCGCAGAGAAATACTTCCAAAAGATAATCTCTCGCTTTCATCAAAATCTCTCTCATTTTATCACAAAATATATATATATATATATATATACACACATAATATATACATATAAATACAACGGGTAACATTTATTATTCCATTACGTGCGATTTGTATCAAAGTGAGAGAGAGAGAGAGAGAGCAACGCAAGAGAGATACGCAATTGATGCGCAAGAGCGACCGCGCTGTTTGTTGTATGTTTCGCATATACAGTATATCGCGTTTTCGGCGTGTAACGCGTGTATCGACTATACGCGCGCGATCGTATCTCGGGGACACAATTTTTAATGCTCTTATCGCGACGCCGCGCGCCATTTGCCGATTATTAATTCCGCGCTCGACAACCGCCCGCGAGCGGTCTCGTAACTAAATTAATTACGCGAAGCGTTTGTGTTTCGCCGAACGATTAT